ACACGATACACGGGAACAGGTTTTTTCGGTAGATGGTCAAGCATGGCAGCCTCAGAACATAACGCCTGAATTGCTTGTCTAATAGTTGGCCTCAAATTCTTATTTGGGTGGGCACACCACAAATCCTACAATCATGGAACACTCCACTTCTCTCTCATTGCAATTCTTTTTCAACTTTTCATCCATGGCCAAAGTTAGCTCTCCTCTCCCATAATGATCCCAAACCCACTCAATCAAACCTTTTTATGCATCTCCATCTTTCATAAGGTCATTTGCCTTTCTTCCTGTAACAATCTTTAGTACAACTACTCCAAAACTATAAACATCTGATTTCTTACTAACCTTACGTGAACTCACACATTCTAGAGTCATATAACCTATTGTGCTTGCTAATCTTGTTGTTTGGGATCCCAGATCGTGATCCACAAGCTTGGCTAACCCAAAGTCTCCAAGTTTTACATTGAAAATAGAATATAACATTACATTGCTTGATTTGATATCTCTATGAACCAATTATTGTTCATGTTCTTCATGAAGGTAGAGTACTCCTAAGGCTAATTCCAAAACTATCTTGTGTCTCACATTCCATTGAAGAGGAGGCTTCTTCCCTGACAAGTGAGCATCAAGGCTACCATTTGACATGAACTTGTAAGCAAGTAGAAACTCACCTTTTTCATGACACCAACCGATGAACTGCACAAAAATCTGGTGCCTTAGTTGACTAATGATCTTAACCTTAGTTATGTACTCTATTTTCCCTTGCTTTGATCCTCTTGATATTTTTTTTCACCACAACTGTTAAATGTATATCAGGAAAATAAGCCCAATAAATAGCTCCAAACCCACCTTGACCCAGTTTCTGATCCTTAGAGAAATCATTGGTAGCTTTTGCAAGCTTTTTATGAGAGAATCTTCTTGGTCCAGCTCCTCTTTTAAGATCATTCATTGATGTTAAGTTCGTGCCTCTTTCCTTTTTGCTTCTCATTTTCTTCTTCCTCAAAAGTAATGCATATACTAAAATTGCTCTTAGTCCAATTATCAAAACAATACCCCCCCAAAACTGTGCTTAGTACTCCACAAGTGTTGTCTTTTTTGTGTTTTGTTCTATGTCATCCAAAATTGAGTTGAACTCTCAAGATAGAAGAGTATTAATTTCTTCATACAATCCTGTTGTTGTAGAAAATCCAACCGTTACCCATTCAGGCAATGCCTTGAATAAGTCAATTAGATAAGAAAGACTATTATTCTCTTGAGGACTTTTGTGTTTTTTGGTATTTCCATGATACACTCAAGTTTTTTGATGCAGAGTTATAGGAAATCCATACATCCGCTACATCATCACTGTGTAGACTAGCATCCCAAAATGTAGACACTGATGAGAGAAGGGAATGATTGTTGATTCCCACATGTTCCATGGTCTCACCCCATTCAGTATTTGCATAAGAGTCAAATGCATATGAGCAATCTGGCTTTGGGATGATAGACCAGTTATCATATTGAATAGCCCCATAAAGCCACCAGTAGAATTTGGAGATATTTCAAAAGCAAAAGGAGCAAGGAAGAAACAAAGTCCATGACCATAAGTAGTTTTACTTTGCATACTTATTGTGAAAATATAATGAGAGGTGAAATCAGTGATGTATCTTGTGTTTGAGTCTTATAATTCAACTCTTTTAGAATAGATGGCCCATCCTGCTTAACAAATATACCCATCATAAATATTGAATTTAACAGTACCAACCTGAGATCCTGTAGATCCTGGGTAAAGGATGTCAGCCTCATTAGAACCAAATCCAAACTTTTGAAGGTAAAGTGAATTAATAAAGAGAGACAAGAAGGAGAAGGAAAATAACAGAGTAAGAAGATGGGAATAGGGTAACGTGTTGGCCATGCCTTTGTGTTTGGAATCAACGCCTTGTAGTGACAAGTAAGGTTAGGGCTCTTGTAAAGTCATATTTATATAAAGATTATGAGTCACTGCCTGCAAGGGTCGGGTCCGACTGGTCGCAAACGGGAACGCAAGGCGCCTTTCCTACCATGTCATGGGCTCGATACCTGCGAGTGCACCTGGGATTAGTCTGGCTGGATAGGTTGGGATACCCTGAGTTAGCGATACCATCCTACTCAAAAAAAAAAAAGATTATGAGTCACTGAAAGGGGAATCCATTTGGAATGAACATACAATAATTGAGAAACGAAAGTTCAGCGCAAAAACTGATTGGTGGGTAGTACGTTTAGAGAGCAGCGGTATTATAAAAGGCAAAGTCCAACTTTGCAAGTGTCGTACATACATCGGGGAAATGTCAGGGCTGTTTACAGTTCACTTGAAACGGTTGACATACGAAGGGGCTTGGTGAACAATTTTATGCATTGTTTTACCGGACAGTTGTTTAAGGAGAAGTACAGTTATTTTCAAATTATTAAAATCTTATACGTCAATATAAATTTTGAAAAAAACATTATTTAAATAAGTAAATACTAAGTAGTGTTAGATATTCCATAATCTTAGTTTTGATTAAATTAAACTTTAAAAATCGAGGCCTCTGAAAAAATATATAAATATGACATATAAAATTAAAATAAATATTTAAAGTTTTTGAAAACTCAGAATATAGTCATTACATGTGTGTGGATATAACCATGATAATTCACAATTTTTATAACTTTTTTTGTGTAACTTCTTTGTACGTCATAGCGTTAAGAGGACTTACCTCCAACATATCTTTATCATTTAAATTCGTTTCGTGGTTTTTTCACATGCTTGAAATAAAAACTTTAATTTTCTGTTTTTAATATTATTTAAATTGCGTTACTTTTTTGCCAACGGAATAAAATTGCTTCGCTATTGCTTAGAAGCACTTTTTTCTAAACAAGTTTAATTAGTTAAAACCTAAAAAAAAAAAATTAAACTCTAATTTTTTAAGCATATTCTTCTCCCAAACAAACTTGGCCGAAAAAAATGTCAATTTACACAATTCTTCGTAAACTATATATTCACAAATATATAACACCTTTCTAGGATTTTGTTTTTGGGGTAATCTTATGAATGTCAGTCGTACATAAATCAAAACCAATGGACATCAGACCCTGCTCCAGCTGAAGTAGTCGACGTGCGTGAAGGGAATCATATAAGATATTAGTACCTCCCATATTTGATATAAAAGCTTGTTTAATTTTTATTTTGATCTTACATATAAGATTCTAATCCACTTTATTTTTTATATTTATCTATTTTTCTCAAAATAGTCATTATAATAATAGTAGTTCTAACTATACTTGATTAACAAAGATATTTTAGGAAAAATAACACATTTATTACAAATAACTAACTTAACTAGTTTTCTTAATCTACTTAAATTAGTCAATTAGTTTTTATATTAAGAACAAGAGAAAGTATTAAATATAAATATTGCTAGCAGACAAGAAAATCGGTGGGCACGAAACAATATTATCCGTACCCTTGGATGCTCTTCATAATCAATTTTGTTGGCCAAAATGGTGATTCCTAAGAATATCTCTAAACATCATTATGAATTCAAAGCCAAAACACCTCTATATATATGTGTATTAAAATTAATTATGAATCGAAAACCAGGATTATACATATGATGGGATGGGATTTTGAAAGCATTGTCGAGGGTTCGATCCTCGCCTTGGGCATGGAAAAGCTTTAAAACTCCGGGCCAGCTGTCCCACCCATCGAGGTGCCTATAAGCCAGCGAAGGGATTAGTCACTGGGTTCGCCGGTGGATACCCTGATGTTTCATTAAAAAAAAAAAAAAGTTCCACTCGGAGAGAATCATAATTCTCCTATAGTTTCACCTTGAGAATGAGGATCGTTAATTATCAAGATATACGCTGATGCAGAGTGAAATTAAGCCTAGTATTTGCAGGGGAATTATGATTTAGAAATGTTAAATTAGCAAAAAAATTATTCGTGGCTAGCCGAGCAAATTCTCTATCTATGAGTTTCGTTTATTGTTTGCTCATACCCTTTCCCTGTTTTCCTTTCTATATAATCTGACATCTGGAAATGAAGACTACCATGTGGCATGAACTTGTATACAAGTAGAAACTTACCTCCCTCAAGTTAATTGTAGCCGATGCAAGCTCCTTTTTCCAGGTCATCAGAACCTGACACTGAAGGCCTAAATTCAAGCAATGAGGAACTTGGATTTCGTAACCTTCTTTATTTAAAAAAGATTCACACAAAAATATTAATATATACATGTTGAGATGTCTATTTAGTCTTTACAATCATTCATTTCCCACTATGGATATGCAGAACAAAAAGGAACCACATAGGAAAAAGAGGTGACTAAAAATGAATTAACTCTATGAATTGAAACATAATTAACCACATAGGAACCACATAGCAAGTCAAGGATTCTAAAAGCAACCTTAGTGACAGCCTTGCCAAAACAGATATGGTTTTTTCTTGTGCTTTTTTCAATTCAGTTTGTTTCGGATATTTATAAAATATTCGAAAGCACAGCATGACATACAGAGCTGCTCGGTTATTATATACAATACTAGGCAGGAAAATGCCAATACTCCAAACTTGCTCCTAAACAACTTCAAGGCACAATATTATCTTCTGCCAATACTCCTCAGTCTAATTCATGTGATCTCGCCTTCGCTGTCATCGGATGAAATATACGTTTTCCCATGTGGGCGGTGTTTTAGTAGCTCAAATCGATTAAGAAAGTTTCTCAGAGGTCAGGAGCTAACCTTCCAGTTGTAGCTAAAAGATCAAGCCCTCTTACTTTAAGCCCAGATCCTAATTTTAATACTACATGTACCCCACTTTCTGATGCACTAACGTCCTAATTATTTTAGTGATATTTGGACTCGGCATGGAGAAAGAGTATGAAGTATTTCTGTTTCATAGATCCAAACCAAAAAAAAAAAAAATCACAGTTGCACGATAGTTTTCCAAAGAAACATATTGTTGTCTCAAGTAGCAAAAGTTACATTGTGATCATATCCAGGAATCTTTCTTGTACTGTTTGTCACATAAGTAGAGACAACATAACTTACACCAGCATTCATGACATTAATCACAACATCTTAATTAACAAATATACAGAGCAACAGAATGAAGAATCAAGCTCAAGATTTGTTTATAGAAATTTGCATTGATGTAAATACATAGGTGGTTGAACAAAACACAATTTCATATCCTGAATATAATCAACGACCTGTTTGCAGGGTCGTAGTCAAGAAAGCAGGTTCGGAGATCTCTTTTGTTGAGGGAACATAATATATTGGAACAGGCTTCTTTGGTGGAAGGTCTGGCAGTGCAGCCTCCAAGCATAACACCTGGATTGCTTGCCTAATAGTTGGCCTCAAATTCCTTTCTGGGTGGGCGCACCACAACCCTACAATCATCAAACACTCTACTTCTCTCTCATCATAGTCTTTTCCCAAAATTTTATCCATTGCCAAAGCTAGCTCTCTTCTTCCATAATGATCCCAAACCCACTCGACCAATCCTAATTCTGCACCTCTATCCTGCATAAGGTCATTTGCTTGCCTTCCTGTGGCTATCTCTAAGGCAACTACTCCAAAACTATAAACATCTGATTCCTTACTTGCCCTACCTGTACTCATATATTCGGGAGCCATATAACCCATTGTGCCTGCCAATCCCGTTGTTTGGGGTCCCAAATCATGATCCACAAGTTTGGCCAACCCAAAATCTCCAAGTTTTACATTGAAACTAGAATCTAGCATTATATTACTTGACTTGATATCTCTGTGAACCACGTATTGTTCCCATTCTTCATGAAGGTATAGCACTCCTGAGACTAACCCTCGAACTATCTTGTGCCTCACACTCCATGGAAGAGGAGGTTTCTTTCCTGACAAATGAGCATCAAGGCTACCATTTGGCATAAACTCATAGACAAGTAGAAACTCGCCTTTTTCGTGACACCAACCGATAAGCTGCACAAGATTCCTATGTCTTAGTTGACTAATAATCTTAACCTCAGTTACATACTCTCTTTTTCCTTGTCTTGATCCTGTTGATATTTTCTTCACCGCAACTGTTAAGTCTATTTCAGGAAAATAACCACGATAAACAGCTCCAAACCCACCTTGACCCAATTTTCTGTTCTCAGAGAAATTATTGGTAGCTTTCGCAAGCTCTTTATGAGAGAATCTTCTTGGTCCTGCTCCTCTTTCAAGATCATCATTCATTGTTGTTAAGTTCATACCTTCTTCTTGTGCACTTCTTGTTTTCTTCTTCCTCCAAAGTAACGCATATGCAACAATTGCTCCTCCAACTATCAAAGCAATACCCCCTAAAACTATGCTCAGAATCACCGCAAGTGTTGTCTTGTTTTTGCTTTGTTCTGTATCATCCAAAGTTGAGTTGAACTCCCAAGAGAGAAGAGTATCAATTTCTCCTAATGACCCCGATGCTGTGGAAAATCCAACTGTAATCCATTCAGGCAATGCCTTAGATAAATCAATTATATAAGAAAGACTATTGTTCTCTTGAGGATTGTGCGTTTTCTGGTATTTCCATGATACACTCAAGTTCTTCAATGTAGAGTTGTAGGTAATCCACACATCTGCAACATCATCACTGTGTAGACTAGCATTCCAATATGTAGATACTGATGAGACAAGAGAGTGATTGTTGATTCCCACATGTTGCGTCATCTCACCCCATTCACTATTTGCATAAGAGTCAAACTCCACATGAACAATCTGGCTTTGTGATGATACACCGGTTGTAATATTGAATAGGCCCAAAAAGCCGCTAGCAGAATTTGGAGGGATTTCAAAACCAAAAGGAGCAAGGAAGAAGCAAAGTCCATGACCATAAATAGTTTTACCTTCATTATCTATTGTGAAAGTATAATGAGAGGTGAAGTCAGCGATGCGTCCAGTACTTGAGTCCCAAAGCTTGACCCTTCTAGCATAGATAGCCCATCCAACTTGACAAGTATACTTTTCATAGATGTTGAATCGAACAGTGCCAACTCGAGATCCTGCAGATCCCATGTAGAGGATGTCGGCATCGTTAGTGTCAAATCCAACTTTTTTAAAGTAGAGTGAATTACCAAAGAGAAATAAGGAGAAGAATGAGAATAGTAGAGGAAGAAGATGGGAATAGCAGAAAGTATGGGCCATGTCTTGTGTTTGGAATAAACGTCTTCCAACGATAATCAAGGTTAAGGCTCTTCTAAATTCATTAGTATATATAAAGATCATGGATGAATATACAAGAATCGATAAATTAAAGCTCAGTGCAAAAGATTGGTGGGTACTACCGCACCATAAATAGGGAGAGGTCAACTGTATTACTAAATTAATTAGGATTATATGATAAGGCAGAGTCCAACTTAGCAGGAATCTTACATTGTGGATATGCCAGGGCAGTTTCCTAAGTTGACCTGAAACAGTTGACATTTGAAGGACTTGAAAATTGTTATGCCAGCTATAACCATGCGAGTTTTTGTTTATTTTCAATTTTCAATTAGAATTATTTTTTGAATAGTTTTTCAGCAAAAATGGTTAAAATAGGGGTTTGCTAAACAATTTTATGTACCGTTGCGTTGGACAGTTGTTTAAAGAGACGTTCATGTTATTTTCAAATTATTAAAATCTTACATGTCAATTTAAATTTGAAAATAATATTATTTACATGAATCAATACCGTTAGATATTTTATAATTATAATTTTTTATTAAATTAAAAGTTAAAAATCGATGCCTCTGAAATAATATATAAAAAATGATATCACAACAAGGATATGCAACATTTTAGTCAAAATAAATAGTTAATATGACATGTAAAATTAAAATAAATATTTAAAGTTTTTGAAAAATCAGAAAAGGACGGCAATTAATTACTTTTTTATCAACTTCATTGGAGGAAAGGTTTTATATAATTTACATGTGTATGAATATAACTATGATACTTCATAATTTTCATGACCTAATCTATTGCGAAACTTTTCTATACACGTTAAGAGGGCTTAAAATCTCTACCTGCACCTTATCTCTAGTCTCAAATGTTGGTTTCACTTAAATCAATGGGTATCATCAATCAACAATACATCGTGAGACTCTGGTGATGAAGCTGATGCAGGTGATGGGGACTTTCATATATAATATGTATTATTAAATATATTATGGTTAGCAGACAAGAAAATCGGTGGGCGCAATATATAAGTAATATTATACGATGCTCTCATCACAACAGTTTCTAAACTATATTATAATTAAATTGACCATGAATATATGGTAAATTTGTCACATATCCGTACGTGTGAAGAAACTTTTTAGACTTTTTCTTGAACAAGATCCAATATTGTTGAAATTTCACTTAGCTAGTTTTGAATAATGAATTGTTTATACAATACAGCTTATTTTATATTTTTAATTATGGAACAAAACTTAAATCCATTGCTTATATATATATATATATATATCTATTAGGTCCATTTCCTTAATGAAATTTTGCCATACGCCCAATTTTTTAACATGTGTTTTGATATAGGGTGTAGGGGTTAAACGAGATGGAGCAAAAAAAACGCAATACAAGCATGGGAAACTTGATTGGAAAAATGGATCTAATGAACATAAAGTAGTCGACTTAAATTTTTTCCTTATATTATATATATATGATAATTAAAATGACCATGAATATTTACTAATTGAATTGGTCATTTGTATTCATTACCATGAATGAGATTTTAGGACCTTTCCAACAATCTCTATTTCTTCTTTTACATTTGTAGAACAAATTTGGCTTTGATTTGTTCATAGTATGCATTAGAGACGTAAAGGTTGTGTGGGACATATTTCTCATTCAATCATTTACGTGGTGATGTGCGGATTAATATTATCTGCCTACACTATAATATGAATAAGGATGTTTTAGCGATGATTCAAGTTGCAGAAAAGTCAACAGATCCCAATAGAAACTTGTGGGATAAAATTATCCCTTCTTCTATTTTTCCTTTTTACTTTTGTCTTTACACTATGATGTCCCATTTTGGATCAAATCATATGACACAATAGTAATAGACAGCAAATTAAGATATCCGATAAAAGTTTCTCATTAAATTAAAACACCGGATTCGATTAAATCTAATAACTTGGTTGACAAAAACATATTTTATGAGAACAGATCAGAAAACAGTCAAGTAGCTTAAATTCTTGGTGAATGGGGATGACTACAGATAAACTGTAGGGTTTTGGGCTTCGTGGCTTGACCGACGTTTAGGGCATTGGGCTCAAATTTACTTATATCAAACCATGTCACAGGAAATTAAGATCCTAAAATTATCAACACAATAGACTTTAGTAAGTATATACATATTATCATGGTAGACTACAGTCAATATACATATATGAGACACAGAGAGAGGGTGAAATTAATCTCAGTATTAGCAGGGGAATTCTGATTTTTTTTCTGAGGTTATATATCAGCAGAGAAAATTCGAAGGATACATGCATGGCTAGCCCCAACATAACATGTAAGAGCAGGCTTGTTGAATGAAATATGAGTATTTTATATTTATTATAAGCAAAATATGACTACCTCATACAATATCCCAAATATAATTCCGTGCAGGAAACTGATGAGGCACAGATCAGAATTCAACAGTTTTATTTTCCATCAATTTTAAGTCCAATGATTCATGGAATCATGTGGTAAATCTAGGTATTTAACTCTCAATTATTTGATTATCCTGTTCTTGTCCGCACAAGACTTCTTGCTCCTCTTAACTCTGCCTATTCTAATAGCTCATCATGTACTCCTCCCATAACCTAATTAAAGAGTTGATATTGATTCTATAAGTAAAACTTGTTTCATATGTTTATGATTTTTTTTTTCAAATTAATCTTATTAATATTTCCTAACAATAATTAAGAAGAAGAGGGAGGGAGGGAGGGAGGGAATTAAAGAAGATGTTTAGGATATTTTAGAAAAAAACATATTAACTAATTTAACTAATATCTTTAATCTATTTAAATTAGTTAAATAAGTCTTGCATTAAAGACAGAAGAGTATATTTTTGGAACATAATATTCTTTATATACTCTAAAAAAGATACCGAAGTGATTTGAAGATTAATGTGGAAGAAAACGATTCCCTATTCTACATCAAATGAGGGACTTGACCAAACCAGATTGGCTTTTCTGGGGCTTTTTAAATTTAGGTTGTTCCGGATATTATGCCCAAGTTCTAGTTGTCGCAAAAAATAAGGATTTATAAAATATTCTAGTGCACAGCATGACAGACAGAGCTTCTTAATAATTATACATGCAGGAAACTGCCAATAGTCCAAATTTGCTTCTAAACAACGTCAAGGCACAACTATTATTCTTCATTGATGCTAAACAATTAAAAAACTAGTTGTGGGTGACGCTGTTCTGTCACTTTGATATTTTTTCCTCCATTTCAGATTTCCTTCTTAAACAACATTAAATTTTCTTGAGGTATGTACAGACTACAAAGATTCTGATATTCAACAAAAGCCCAAGCCATGGATTAAATACTTAAAAGAATGCTTTTTTGTGTAACCTCTTTTGGGGAAACGAGTATAGAACTCTCACTCTTAGAGTGAAAAATTGGTTAACCATACTCTCATGGTTCATAATCAAAGTAGACCAAACTTTTGAAAGCCCTTCTTCAAATTAATTAATATTGTTGAGATTCTACCACCTATCAATCATCCAATTACTGATGGAGGACATGTTTTACACTGTTGAAGACACGAAACGCACACACGCGCATGTTTTAAGGAAGTTTCGGATAAGAACTATATTTAGGCATAAGATTGACCTGTGGAAACATTATTTAACAAGTCTACGTGCAGATATCATAAGTTTATGTGTGTCATCGGATGAAACATACGTTTTCCCATGTGGGTGTGGGGTCTTAGTGGCTCAAATTGATTCAAATATTTATTGTAGCATTGAAGAAAAGTTATTGCTATTTATAGATTAAAACATCTTGCAAAGACACTCGCCGAATCACTAAGAAATTTCTTCAGAGGTCAGAAGTTGACCTTCCTATTGTCCGTTCAAATCAAGGCCCCTCATTTTAAGTACACATCCTAATTTTAATACTACATGTAACCAGGTCTGAATTCATGTGATGCCCTAACATCCTAATTATTTTAGTGATGGACTTAATGTGTAGAACCAGTATGAAGTATGTATGAGTCATGGACATGAAAAGATTGAAAAAATAGTTGAGCAATAGTTTTCCACAGAAACAAGTTGGTGTCTCAAGTATTAACTAAAAAACATACATTATGATCTTATCCAAGAATCAAACTTATGAATCAGTCATACGTAAACCAAAATCCCTTAGCCGCGTTAAACACATTATTTTTCTTTGGCCAGGAAAAGTATAATCAATGGTACATCATTGGCCGCTGGCGAAGATGATGGACGTGACAGGGGCTTTGATATATAAGATATTATTGAATAATATTATACGATATTAAAATTGAATTGTTGGCCAAAAAATATTATAATTAAGCTGACCGTGAATATCGGAACTGAAGTGGTCAACGATCCATACCTGTGAAGGAGTGTCTTGGACTTTTCATGGAGGACATCCAAGTTGTTGAAATTCCAGAATTCCTCGCCGGCGGTGTTATCTTTTCAGTTATATTCGTTTTTTCCTCGGAAAAGTGCCCATTGAAAATTTTAGTGGCAAGAAAAACCTGACAAATTTTTAAATATAAAAAGTATTGATATTCTGTACGTACAATTTCTAGGATATCAGTATTTTTTTGTGTTTATAAATCAATCAAATTGTTCTCACCAATAAAATTTTTAATGGAGAACATTTTTTCAATTTTTTCAAAATTATTTGTGGATTGTATGAAATTTGAATGATTAATTGTTAAAAGTAAAGCTGATTTTATATTTAATTATAGGATAAGACTTAAATCCATTACTTTATATCTATTAGGCCCATTTCCTTAATCAAATGTTGCCAACTTGCCATGTGCAAGCAACGGACTTAAGTTTCATTTTTAATTTTATATATTAATAATTAATATGACCATGGCTATATATAGTCATCTGCGTACATAATTATGATTGAAATTTTAGGACCTTGTTAATATCCTATATTGTTGGTGGAAAAAATTATATGGGTAGAGATATTCCTAATTAGAATTAGACACGACAGTATTTAAATTTTTTAAAAAATTATTAAAAAAGATCTTGAAAATTAAAAAATTATATACAGTGACCCATTCACAAAATTGTTGTAATTTGATTATTAAGTTGTCGAAACTCATACTAATATTGCAATGGGTCCCTCTATATAATTTTCCAATTTTTAAGGTCTTTTTTGTGATTTTTCCTTAAATTTAACCTATAATATTTAATATCAAATGATTATTAAGGTCTTATTTTTCAGCCTGAGCCTGGCCTGTATAAAGGCCTGGCCTGGTCTGAAGCCTGTTAAAAAGTCTGTATTTTTAAAAAGTTCAAATTACAGTTATATTTTTTTAAAAAAATTAAGATTAAAAAAAGCATACATAATAATTAATTGTTTAGTCTTGTTTTTTATTTAAATTTTAGTACCACAAGTACTATTTTAAATCTTAATTACAACTTACAAGGATATTATTGAAAACTAGTTGTAATTGTATGTTAAAATTTAGAACAAGACTAGGTTTAAGTACACACAAAAATTAAAATTAAGACAAATAAATAAAGAGAAAAAACTATTAATTTTACAATGAATAAAGAATGTATCATGATTTAATTAACCTAATACATAAGTTAATTGATTTATCATTCATGGAACAAAATTTTTCTTTCCTATTTTATTTATATTTTTAAGATTTAAAGATTATATTATTTATTGACATTATTATTTTAAATTATATTTTAATATTCACTTGTCAGCTAAACTTCAAAATCTAAAGAAGGATTAAGCTATTAACTATATATTAAAATTAAAAAATAAATTAAAAGAGCACATTAACAATAGTATCATTAACTAATTTTTTCATATATTATAATTATAAATTTTTAACAGGCTTAGACTGACCTAACAGGCTTTTTAGAGAGTCTAGGCCTGACCTGTTTAGTTAAACACACCTGAACTTGTCTCTTTGGAAAAATAGGTCAAGTTAGGCCAGGTTATAGGCCCCTAACAGGCCACCTGACCTATTTTCATCTCTAAATATATATCAAGATTATAAATGAAGATGCAAGAATCGATAAATTAAAGCTCAGTGCAAAAGATTGCTGGGCACTACTGCGCCATAAATGGGGAGGGATCAACTGTATTATTAAATTAATTAATTAATTAGGATTATATGATAATAGGGCAGAGTCCAACTTAGCGGGAATCTTACACTGAGGATATGCCAGGGCGGTTTCCTAAGTTGACCTGAAACAGTTGACATGTGAAGGGACTTGAAAATTGCTGTGCCAGCTATAATCATGCCCGTTTTTTTGTTTACTTTTCAATTTTCAATTAGAATTATTTTTTGAATAGTTTTCAGCAAAAATGGTTAAAATAAGGGTTTGCCAAACAATTTTATGTAACGTTGCATTGGACAGTTGTTTAAAGAGACGTTCATCTTATTTTCAAATTATTAAAATCTTACATGTCAATTTAAATTTGAAAATAATATTATTTACATGAATCAGTACTGTTAGATATTTTATAAGTATAATTTGATTAAATTAAACGTTAAAAATCGATGCCTCTGAAATAATATATAAAAAACGATATCACAATAAGGATATACAACATTTTAATCAAAATAAATAGTTAATATGATATATGAAATTAAAATAAATATTTAAAGTTTTTGAAAAATCAGAAAAGGACGGCAATTAATTACTTTTATATCAACTTCATTGGAGGAAAGGTTTTATATAATTTCATGTGTATGAATATAACGATGATAATTCATAATTTTCATAACCCAATTTATTGCGAAACTTTTCTATACACATCAAGAGGGCTTAAAATCTTTACCTCCGCCTTATCTTTAGTCTCAAATGTTGGTTTCACTTAAATCAATGGGTATGGTCAATCAACAATACATCGTGAGCAATAGTTCTCCAAAGAAACAAGTTGGTGTCTCAAGTAATACTCAGGTGATAACTAAAAAACATACATTATGATCTTATCCAAGAATCAAACTTGTACCGTTTGTCACTTAAATAAAGACACTAACTTTCACCAATATGCATGATCATAATAATTTGTATTGTTGTCCAGACACATGTGATTACAAAGAAAAAAGAAGAAGAAGAAGAAGACAATTTCGACCCATCCTGAATGTAGTTAACGACCACTTTGCAGAGTTGTATTTGAGAAAGCAGCTTCAGAGACTACTTTTGGTGTGGGAACATGATACATTGGAACGGGCTTCTTTAGTGGAAGGTCTGGCAGGGCAGCCTCAAAGCATAACACCTGAATTGCTTGCCTAATAGTTGGCCTTAAATTCTTATCTGGGTGGGCACACCATAACCCGACAATCATTAAACACTCCACTTCTCTCTCATCATGGTCCTTCGTCAACTTTTCATCCATGGCCAAAGCTAGATCTCCTCTTCCATAATGATCCCAAATCCACTCAATCAATCCTACTTCTGCATCTCCATCCTTCATAACGTCATTTGCCTTTCTTCCTGTGGCTATTTCCAAAACAACTACTCCAAAACTATAAACATCTGATTCCTTACTGGCCCTACCTGTACTCACATATTCTGGAGCCATATATCCTAATGTTCCTGCCAATCCGGTTGTTTGGGGTCCTAGATCGTGGTCCACGAGTTTGGCCAATCCAAAATCTCCAAGTTTTACATTGAAACTGGAATCTAGCATTATATTGCTTGACTTGATATCTCTGTGAACCACGCATTGTTCCCATTCTTCATGAAGGTACAACATTCCTGAGGCCAACCCTAGAACTATCTTGTGCCTCACACTCCACGGAAGAGGAGGCTTCTTCCCTGACAAATGAGCATCAAGGCTACCATTCGGCATGAACTCATAAACAAGTAGAAACTCGCCTTTTTCATGACACCAACCGATAAGCTGCACAAGATTCCTGTGTCTTAGTTGACTAATAATCTTAACCTCAGTTACATACTCTCTTTTTCCTTGTCTTGATCCTCTTGATATTTTCTTCACTGCAACTGTTAAGTCTATATCAGGAAAATAACCACGATAAACAGCTCCAAACCCACCTTGACCCAATTTCCTGTTCTCAGAGAAATCATTGGTAGCTTTCGCAAGCTCTTTATGAGAGAATCTTCTTGGTCCTGCCCCTCTTTCAAGATCATCATTCATTGATGTTAAGTTCACAGCTTCTTCCTTTTTGCTTCTCATTTTCTTCTTCCTCCGAAATAATGCATATGCTATAATTGCTCCTCCAGCTATCAAACCAATAATCCCTAAAACAATGCTCAGAATCACCGTGAGAGTTGTCTTCTTGTTGTTCTGTTCTGTATCGTCTAAAGTTGAATTGAACTCCCAAGAGAGAAGGGTATGAAGTTCTCCAAACGATCCAGTTGCAGCAGAAAATCCAATTGTAACCCATTCAGGCAATGCGTTAGATAAATCAATTGGATAAGAAAGACTATTGTTCTCTTGAGAACTCTGTGTATTATGGTATTTCCATGATACACTCAAGTTCTTTGAGGTAGAGTTATAGGTAATCCACACATCTGCGGTATCACCACTATGTAGGCTAGCATTCCAAAACGTAGACAATGATGAAACAATAGAATGATTGTTGATTCCCACATGTTGTGTGGTCTCACCCCATTCAGAATTTGGGTAAGTGTCAAACTCCACATGAACAATTTGGCTTTTGGATGAAAGACTCGTTGTGGTATTGAATAAGCCTAGAAAGCCACTAGCAGAATTTGGAGGGATTTCAAAACCAAAAGGAGCAAGGAAGAAGCAAAGCCCATGGCCATAACTAGTTTTACCTTCAGTGTCTATAGTAAAAGTATGATGAGAGGTGAAGTCTGTGATGTGTCCAGTGCTTGAGTCCCAAAGTTTCACCCTTCTAGCATAGATGGCCCATCCTACTTGACAAGTGTACTTGTCATTCATGTTGAATATAATAGTACCAACTTGAGATCCTGCAGATCCCAAGTAGAGGATATCGGTGTCGTCAGAACTAAATCCAGACTTTTGAAAGTAAAGTGAATCAACAAAGAGAGACAAGAAAAAGAAGGAGAATAACAGAGCAAGAAGATTGGAAGAGCAGAACGTATTAGCCATGCCACGTGTTTGGAATGAACGTCTTCCGGGGATGAGTAAGTTTAGGGGCGCTCTTGTTAACTCATATTTATATAAGGATGATGAATCACTTAAAGGGGATTAATCTTTCTGGAACGAAGATACAATAATTGAGAAGTTAAAGTTCAGTGCAAAACAGATTGGTGTGGGCAGCGCATACAGAGGTCAACGATAATTATTTAAATTAATTAGGATTATATGATAAGGCAAAGTCCTGCTTTGCAAGAATAGTACGCCGCATGGAAGATGCTGGGAAAGTTCCCTCAGTTCGTTGACCCGAAACAATTCAACTCTTTTTAAAAAAAATACCAAACAGTTAACCTACATTAAGTAACTTGAAAATCGTCAATGAAAAAAAAGGTAACTTGAGAATTGCTATGTTAAACTTATTCATGAGAGTTTTTGTTTATTTTTCAATTTTCAGTTTCAATTATTTTTTGAATAGATCTTTAGCAAAAACGGTCAAAATAAGGGTTTGGTAAACAATTTTATCTTCTGTTTTTATATTAGTACGATTTCTTTACTGCTTCTCAGAACAACTATTTTTAAACAAGCTTAGTTAAAACCTTACAAAACTAAATTTTCAAATATATTCTTCTCGCAAACTTGGCTGAAAAATATGTCAACTTACAAATTCTTGTAAACTATATATTCACAAATATACGACACCATTTTAGTTTTTTATTATTTAATCTTATGAATCAGTCATACGCAATCCAAAATCCCTTAGCCGCGTTAAACACATTATTTTTCTTTGGCCAGGAAAAGTATAATCAATGGTACATCATTGGCCTCCGGTGAAGATGATGGACGTGACAGGGGCTTTGATATATAAGATATTATTAAATAATATTATACGATATTAAAATTGAATTGTTGGCCAAAAAATATTATAATTAAGCTGACCGTGAATATGGGAACTGAAGTGGTCACCGATCCATAGCTGGGAAGGAGTTTCTTGGACTTTTCATTGAGGACATCCAATGGTGTTGAAATTCCAGAATTCCTGGCCGGCGGTGTTGCCTTTTCAGTTTTTCAGTTTTTCCTGGCAAAAGTGCCCATTGGAAATTTTAGTGGCAAGAAAAACCTGACAAATTTTTAAATATAAAAAGTATTGATATGCTGTCCGTACAATTTGTAAGATATCAATATTTTTGTGTGTTTATAAATCAATCAAATTGTTCTCACCAATAAAATTTTTAATGGAGGACATTTTTTCAATTTTTTCAAAATTATTTGTGGATTGTATGAAATTTGAATGATTAATTGTTAAGCGTAAAGCTGATTTTATATTTAAGTATAGGATAAAACTTAAATCCATTACTTTATATCTATTAGGTCCATTTCCTTAATCAAATATTGCCAACTTGCCATGTGCAAGCAACGGACTTAAGTTTCATTTTTAATTTTATATATTAATAATTAATATGACCATGGCTATATATAGTCATCTGCGTACATAATTATGGTTGAAATTTTAGGACCTTGTTAATATCCTATATTCTTGGTGGAAAAAATTATATGGGTAGAGATATTCCTAATTAGAATTAGACACGACAGTATTTAAAATTTTTTTAAAATTATTAAAAAAGACCTTGAAAATTAAAAAATTATATACAGTGACCCATTCACAAAATTGTTGTAATTTGATTATTAAGTTGTCGAAACTCATACTAATGTTGCAATGGGTCCCTCTATACAATTTTCCAATTTTTAAGGTCTTTTTTGTGATTTTTTCTTAAATTTAACCTATAATATTAAATATCAAATAATCATATAAAAAATGACAACCCAGCAGTGTTTATTTTATAGTCTAGGGGCAGCCAACCTAATGTACAGTAGATAATATATTTTACACGTAACCGCAATTATATTAATCATGATTATGCTTTGCTAAGAGTTAGTGAGTTACCAGAGACAACAACTTCTATTATTTTCTTTTATACGGTATTTCTATCTTTAATATAAGACCCTAATGACTAATTTGAGGAGATTAAAAAGACTATTAAATTACTTTCAAGTATTTATATTTATTATTTTTATCAAAACTAATTTGCGTTACTTATAAATTGACAATAATCTAATGATATATATAAATATTTTTAAAAATTATGTAACATATATAATTAAGCAATTTAGTAATTTTTTTAAATTAGTCAACTATGTCTTATATTAAGAATTAAATGTAGTATGAATGGAACAAATTTATAATTGAATTGTTCTTAGCGTGTATTGTTAGAGACATAAAAGTTATGTCAGATATTTTTTTTGAGAGAATTATAATAAAGTCTCAAGAAAAAAATTATAAAATAAGTATCAGAAGTTGTGATTTCCTATTTTAAAACTTATTATTACATACTATTTATGTTGTTATTGGAATTTTTTAGTAACTATGTTTCTTTTTTGAGACTTGATTGTAATTCTTTCTATTTTTTTTCTCTCATTCAATTCATTTGGTGAAGCATTCTAATACTAGCTGGCTAGCTAAGATATAATATGAATGTGATTAGGGGCGTTTAATGACGAAGCAAGCTCTCCGCATTCAACGTGGAAAAAAACAACAGACCGTTGGAAAAAACTTGGAGTTCAAGGCAAGTTTTTTCTCTCTTTAATTTTGTCTTTATACTATGATGTCCCATTATCCCTGAATAAAACAACTTGTTTTGAAATTTTGACCAAATGATACGACAAATAATAGGCTACAAAAAATATGCGATAAACTTTCCCATTCAGGCGGTTTTTGGTGAACGGATAGCTACAAATAAATGCAGGACTGTGGGCCTCGTCGTGGCTCGACGGACATGGTATAGATGGCTGACCCATATGAGCAGTATTGGGCTCAAATTGGTTTTTCTCCTTTCTTTTCTTTTTCTTTCTTCCTTTTTTTTTTTGCCAGCTCGGATTAACTAATTTCAAACCAAAAGGGAATCGCCGTCCCAGGAAACTGAAGAACGTTAGTAACTTGTAATTTATCGCTGGTAAAAAAAAAAAATGTAATTATTAATGAAATACTATCTCCAACTCTAATTATAAGACCTCGTCTTATAATTAGAAACAGAAGTAGTAGAATTTAGTCAATGCTTGCACATTTTTTTCCCGGAAAGCAAATGTATACGCATTAACATAATAGACTTTAGTCAACACACAAAGATACAGAGTGAAATTAATCCCAGTATATTGGCAGAAGAATTCTGATTTAGAAATGTTAATTAAATAAATGAAAATTCAGGGAATGAATTTTGTATATATAATAATTTTTTTCCCATCAAAATGGGGTTCGGGAAAAAGTTTCTAATCATTAAATAATTAGATTTATAATTTTTTTATGAGACCTCAGACTTTAACACATCCTTTCAGTTTGGGCATAAGCAAGTTTCACAACTTAAAATTAATTGTTGATTTTATATTATGAATTTCTTTTATCAAAAAGACAATGATGACAACAAAAACACCATAGATAGATGAATTTTTATAACTAAAATTATTCTTAAACTGAGTACAACGGGAGACAGTAACATTGTGTTGATTATATTCTGTATTGACAAATTTTAAAATATAAAAAGTATTGATATTCTGTATGTACAATTTATAAGATATCAATATTTTTTGTGTTAATAAAATCAATCAAATTGTTCTGACCGAGAAAATTTTTAATCAAGAACATTTTTTCACATTTTCCAAAATCATTTGTGGACTGTATGAAATTTAGATGATTAATTGTTGAAAGTAAAGCTGATTTTATATTTAATTATAGGATAAAACTTAAATCCATTACTTTATATCTATCAGGTTCATTTCCTTAATCAAATGTCGCCATGCGTAATCAACGGACTTAAGTTTGAGTTTTAATTTTATATATTAATAATTAATATGATCATGACTATATATAGTCATCTGCGTGCATGATTATGATTGAAATTTTAGGACTTTTTTTAATATGCTATATTTTTTATGGAAAAAATTAAGAAAAATTACACTCAGGTCCTATAGAAGATAATTAATTTCCAAAAAGTCTCTATAAATCCCAAAATGATTCTGAAATCCCCAGGGACCTGTGTGTAATTAATTGTAATTATGAAATTACTTATTTATCCTATTAATTTTATTACAACAATTCATTTACAATCTCAACAGTGACTGTTAACTGTGAGATGTCAGGAGCACTACCGAGGTTGTCAACCACCTCTTCTCGGGTTGTCAACAGCCATTGTTGAGGTTGTAAATAAATTACATTAGGTTCAAATTAATGAGAGTAAATAGGTAATTTCACAATTACAATTCATTACACACAGGTCCCTGAGGACTTAAGAATCATTTCGGGATTTTTAAGAATTTTTTTTATATTAATTGTCTTTTATGGGACTTGAGTGTAATTTTTCCAAAAAATTATATGGGTAGAGATATCCCTAATTAGAATTAGACACGACAATATTTAAATTTAACCTATAATATTAAATATCAAATAATCATATAAAAAATGACAACCCAGTAGTGTTTATTTTAGGGTCTACGGGCGGCCAGCCTAATGTCCAGTAGATAATATTTTTTTACTCGTAACCATTAATCATAATTATGCTTTGCTAAGAATACGAGCTACCAGAGACAACGTCCTCTATTATTTTCTTATATACCACATCTGATTTTTAATATAAGAGTATATTGACTAATTTAAAAAGATTAAAAAAATCACTAAATTATTTTAAAATATTTATATTTATCGTTTTTATTTAAACTAATTTACCTTACTTATAAATTAATACAGAATCTAATGAAATATATAAATATTTTAAACAGATAATGTAATTAAGTAATTTAATAATTTTTTAATTTTTTTAAATTAATCAACTAAACCTTATATTAAAAATCAGATATAATATAAACAGAATAAGTTTATAATTGAATTGTTCTGAGCGTGTGTTGTTAGAAACGTAAAAGTTGCGTCAGATATCTTTTTCTCTCACTAAGACACAATGTGAATATGA